GGAGGATAAACCTCCGCTGTACTTCGCAGTTCGACACCCAGAGTCACCCCCGCGCCACGATGAGGCAGTACACCATCACGGGGGGACTACGCTATATTACAACTGAAATTGAAGGTTTAGACAAGTGGAAAAAAGCGCAACCGACAGCTTGATTTTTCTAGAATGTAAGGAGCTTAAATTTGTTAATAGCTACTTTTGGGACAATCGTATATGCTGACTACGAAAACATATCCATTTCTCGCGATATAATCTTACTGTATATTACACTCACAACGAATAATCCCTCAATGTAAAGCCATGGTGGGTATGCGATAAGGTCAAAATCACTGATGTACTTGGAAGGGAAGAATTGAATAATTTCGTTTCTACCGTGCGAAGACTCCGCCATGAATGATGAAGCTCGTTCATGTAATCAACATATAGGGACCTCTGTGAATTTGACCCTGCGTCGTATATCTATCGTAACCTACAGTTAGATGATGTGGAGATCGGCTATGGTTTTCATAGTCAGCATAGCCACTTACCCCAGCATAGTGCTATTGTGAACTGTGCTCCTCACAATCCAAAAAAAATGAAGCTATCAGAGCTTTTTTTGGCTCTCTGGAAATATATTTTCAATCGCTTTTAGTTTAAAAAACGTAAAACCTTTGAACAAACCGGGCCTACTTTGTAGAGTGAGACTTCTGCTTTTTAATAGTAAACAATGTACTGCCAAAAAAAGGAAATTTTTAACCTTGAAAAAAACACGAGCTTGTCCGACAACTCTACATAAGTGCTGGAGTTGCAGCTTGGTTGATTTTGAAGTTGGCAGTGGACGAATTGTTGTTTAGGAGGTCGTCAAGTGTTATCGCTCGCTGTGGACTGTATTGCTGACTACATCATATGGCATGAAGTAATGCATGCAATTGGATTTGAGCACGAACACCAACGTCCTGACAGGGACAATTTCATTCGGGTTGAGTACAGCAACGTGCAAATTGGACAACTCGGTCAGTTAATTCGGAATATCACCATCAGCAAAAAATTAATACAATAGATTTAGTGAATTTTGAAAAACTCGCTGCTTATGAGGTGGACTATAATGACGTCTACGACTATAAGTCAATAATGCACTATGATTCATTTGCATTTGGAAGAAGAGATTCAAAAACAAACGTCAGACTCGCCACTATGTTCCCACTTAAGGTTTGACTTTTTTGGAATAAATGAGAAGTATTTTGAGGTAAACGTTGTTACGTAATCTTAAGACCAAACACCACAAGATTCTATAAAGTATATTACGGAAATTGTAATGTTCGTATCCTTTACTTAAACATAACAGCGAAATCCAAGAAAGACTGCTAGTGTACATTATGCTGATAAACAATCTCTGCTTCCTTTAAAATTGTATTTTCCTTCCAGAAGGATGTAACTCTTGAAGATAACATGAAAATGTCTTCCGTCGACATAAGAAAACTAAACGAATTGGGGAGATGCAGCG